AATAAATAAACAAATAAACAAACTACACAAATAAACAAACGAGAATTGAACACAAGGCAACAAATGGAACTCTAAACAACAATCTCAAAATCATTCCATTACTAACATAAATGAATAAATAAACGAATAATTAAATGAATAAATAAATAAATAGATAAATAGATAAATATATAGATAAATAAATATATAAATAAATGAATAACACTTAATTGATTCCCACGGGGAAATCTGGGCCTATAGTATCCTAAGCAACTCATTGTTGTAAGAATGCCCAACTACAGATCCCTTCAAACTTGACATTTTTCTTCTTTAGATGGAGATTGTCGCCAGGGATGGATCACGGTTGGCAATGGAACTACAGCACAGTGTTTTAAGCTCTTTTCGGACCAGAGAAAGAACTACAATGGCGCTGCAAACTTCTGCAAACAACAAGGTGGATACCTGGCAACAGACACTTCGTAAGTGGTTGATTTTATGGTGCAGGTAAACTATTCACACACACCCCCCCCCCTCCCCTCCCCCCAATGTCATTCCTCTTCAGGACTATCACAGAGCACAGTTTCTTGTGCGTGAAAGATATAATTTTAACTGCAACCATCCTCACAGTTGCCCCACAGTGACTCCGGATGCTACACACTAGGAAAAGCAGTTTGAAATTATAGACTTTACTTTAGTTTAACTTATATTTCTGCATAACCTCAGCAGCTTCTGGTGTGGTGGGGCCTGCAGATTCAGCCGTATATGGAATTTTCCACTTAAAAGTTTTGACGAAAATTCTACAAAATTAATTAAGTAAGTAATCATATCTTGAAACAAGAAAAAGTTTTCACCACAAAGTCAAAGACTTTAATGGAACTTAAGAGGCGTAATGTGAATAGGAATCTGATTGGTCTGGGTTCTTTTTGCACTTTTCTTTGCTTTATTATCCTTCCTCTTGTACCTCCAGGGCATCGAGGGGAGAAGGAGCTTTCTGTCTCTAGTAAGCTGGATGGCCTGGCTGGGTGGGATGTTGTGTGTTTACAGGGTGTCCTTCACATCCTCGATCCAGGTCTTCTTAATGGTCTTCCTCTTGCCTTGTACCCTGATATTCTTTTGTGGGTTTGTACCACTATTTATTACAACTATAGCTGTGTCCAAGCAGGCTGTCCTTCTTCCGGAAAAAATAAAAGGTTATCAGTGCAGCCCTGATGCTGTGGATCTTGTGACATGCCCATACCATTTTAATTTTCGTCTCTTCACTGTGGTCAGTAGATCTTCGTGACACCCCACTGCGTTGGTGATTCTCTTTCGTACCTCAGCATTTGAAACGTGGTCTTTGTACGAGATGTCAAGGAGTCTGTGGTAACATTTCATCTCTGTGGTCTGAATTTTTTTCTCTAATTCTGCTGTCAGTGTCCAGGACTCGCAGGTATATAAAAATAATGAGATGACTAGTGGGCGTATTAGTCTGATTTTTAAGTTATCATTATTACATTCATTAATCACGTCGGTTAATCTGTTAGCGATGCTTTCATTGATTTGCTAGTTGCATGTTTCCCTCCGCTCTCTCACTTAACCATTACGGTATTTGAATTCAGTATTTTATGGAGTCTATTTGTATGTGTGTGTGTGTGTGTGTGTGTGTGTGTGTGTGTGTGTGTGTGTGTGTGT